TGAAGTGTACCTATGATACAAATTACAGACCTCTACATGCTTTGTAAGTAGGAAAACCTGCAAAATCGGCAGTGTATCAAATACTTGTTCTCCCCACTGTACATAATGGTACAGCAGCAGTGAACATGGCATAGCATACATCAGGTATTAGCATAGCATCCTATTAGGCTTAACAATATATACAGGGCAACTAGCGTTAGTGAGGCTAATGGTATTATGGCTATTATAGCAAACGCAGCACACAGTTTACCAATATATACAATAGCAGCTATAAGGTGTTAGCAATGGGCTAATATGATAAACATTGCGCAATGTATACACAAGGCCAACTAGCACAGGTAATAACTTAGCACGCTAGGCAAGCAGGCTGAAGGTCATGGGCTAACAAGGCAATAATATAACCAGAACCATTAGCGGTAGCAGGTTAGCATGCTATGTGGCTAACAATGGGAATATGTAAACAGAAGCCATGTTGGATAAGGCAATGGGGGCGGCCATCTTAGGTTGCATAACAATAATAACACTGGCCAGTGACCATCTTAAGGCCTATGGCAGAAATGGCTATCAGACAGCTTACAGTACATACAAGCTTACAGTACAACCAGTATGGTCCTCTGTAGCTCAATTGGTAGAGCATGGCGCTTGTAACGCCAGGGTAGTGGGTTCGATCCCCGGGACCACCCATACGTAAAAATGTATGCGCACATGACTAAGTCGCTTTGGATAAAAGCGTCTGCTAAATGGCATATTATATTATTAACCAGACAGGAGGAAGATCCATGGGGTGTGGCCCAGCTGTTGGTGTGCAGGGCCGACATTTATGGGAGAGCTCCTCGATCTGCCACTGCTTGCTGAAAACTGAGCCCGGATTGGTCTGGACTGTGCTTTTATACTTGTCCAGGTCCCACCTGCCTATTGGACAGGTGCACTGAGGAGATGCAGGTAGGCAGGGTCAAATGTGGTGATGGGCAGTCAAATGTCCCAATCAGAGTTCACTGGGTGTGTCCTAGAAAGACCCCTAGCAACAGAGTGACCAGGACCAGCGGTGTGAACGACCAGGGGATGGTAGCCTCTGCTGGGGCTGGAGAGTTATAAAGTTTGAGTCTATGTCCCAGGGTAAGAAAGAGGGTTTGAGAGATGGTTTTCCACAGAGGGGTATTTTAATAAGTTGTAACCCAGCTGTCATCTAGGGCTGGGAATTGCCAGGGGCCTTATGATACGATATTATCACGACACTTAGGCGCCGATACGATTTGTATTGCGATTCTATATGTATTGCGATTTGATACTGTGATTTTATTGTGATTGATGTTACAAACATATTGCTCACCATTTGTCTGCAAGAGAGCCATGAGAAAACGAGTTTGGATCAGTCAGGGAAATAAAAGTGCTGAAAAATAATTGGCTCCTTATTTAAAAAGACGACTGAGAACAAGCTATGAAGGATAAACACTGGTGTTTTGGTGCAGGTACAGCCAACTAGCCCAAAAATAATATTGAGATTGTCAAAATGATACAATATATCAAAACATATAATATCTGGAAACGTAAGTATTGATTTTTTCACCCATCACTGTGTTCCATCGCTGTGAGGTGTATTGTAGTATGTTATTAACACTGCTGCTTATAACAAAGTTGAAGGAAACACTTACTTTGTTTTATAACCTTGTTCTCAGATAAGAAAACTGTAAAAATGAAATGGACCTCGTAACCCAAAACACAGGACATTAGAAACCTTAAGCATCACACAGTGAGAGTGATCTTGTTGCAGTATGTTGATCAAATGATCTCTGTGAGTTCTTGGTGTCCCCTATGTGTAGAGACAGTTTGTTCTTACCATGTGACCTGGCCAGGAAAAAGTTCAGAACCTAATGACGAGACACCACCAGTATTAGCTGTTGTAATACTACACGTGCTTGGGGTTCACATGGCGCTTAGGGTACGATGCTTGAGGTCCCAATCACCGGTCTTTTGAGTAATGACGAAACTGGCTCATATACATACAGTGCATTCGGAAAGTATTCAGACCCCTTGATTTTTTCCACATTTTATTACGTTACAGCCTTATTCTAAAATTGATTACATTTGTTTTTTTCCTCATCAATCTACACACAGTACCCCATAATGATAAAGCAAAAACAGGTTTTTAGACATTTTTGCAAATGTATTACAAATAAACGGAAATATCACATTTACTTAAGTATTCTGGCCACTCTACCATAAAGGCCTGATTGGTGGAGTGCTGCAGAGATGGCTGTCCTTCTGGAAGGTTCTCCCATCTCCACAGAGGAACACTGGAGCTCTCTCAGAGTGACCATCGGGTTCTTGGTCACCTCCCTGACCAAGGCCCTTCTCCCCAGATTGCTGTTTGGCCGGGCGGCCAGCTCTAGGAAGAGTCTTGTTGGTTCCAAATTTCTTCCATTTAAGAATGATGGAGGCCACTGTGTTCTTGGGGACCTTCAATGCTGCAGACATTTCCTGTCTCGGAGCTCTACGGACAATTCCTTCGACTTCATGGCTTGGTTTTTGTTCGGACATGCACTGTCAATGTGGGACCTTATATAGACAGGTGTGTGCCTTTCCAAATTATGTCCAAACAATGGAATCTATTACAGGAGGCCTCCAATCAAGTTGTAGAAACATCAAGGATGATAAAAGGAAACAGGATGCACCTGTGCCCAAGAAAGCGAAGGTAACCTGCCAAAATGACTACCGCCCCGTAGCACTCACGTCGGTAGCCATGAAGTGCTTTGAAAGGCTGGTCATGGCTCACATCAACACCATCATCCCGGAAACCCTAGACCCACTCCAATTCGCATACCGCCCCAACAGATCCACAGATGATGCAATCTCAATCGCACTCCACACTGCCCTTTCCCACCTGGACAAAAGGAACACCTATGTGAGAATGCTGTTCATTGACTACAGCTCAGCGTTCAACACCGTAGTGCCAACAAAGCTCATCACTAAGCTAAGGACCCTGGGACTAAACGCCTCCCGCTGCAACTGGATCCTGGACTTCCTGGCGGACCCCCCCCCAGGTGGTAAGGGTAGGCAACAACACATCTGCCACGCTGATCCTCAACACGGGGGCCCCTCACGGGTGCGTGCTTAGTCCCCTCCTATACTCCCTGTTCACCCATGACTGTTTGGCCAAGCATGACTCCAACACCATCATTAAGTTTGCTGACGACACAACAGTGGTAGGCCTGATCACCGACAATGATGAGACAGCCTATAGGGAGGAGGTCAGAGACCTGGCAGTGTGGTGCCAGGACAACAACCTCTCCCTCAACGTGAGCAAGACAAAGGAGCTGATTGTAGACCACAGACAAAGGAGGGCCGAACAAGCCCCCATTCACATCGACAGGGCTGTAGTGGAGCGGGTCGAGAGTTTCAAGTTCCTTGGTGTCCACATCACCAACAAACTATTATGGTCCAAACACACCAAGACAGTCGTGAAGAGGGCACGACAACACCTTTTCCCCCTCAGGAGACTGAAAAGATTTGGAATGGGTCCCCAGATCCTCAAAAATGTCTACAGCTGCACCATCGAGAGAATCCTGACCGGTTGCATCACCACCTGGTATGGCAACTGCTCGGCGTCAGACCATAAGGCACTACAGAGGGTAGTGCGTACGGCCCAGTACATCACTGGGGCCAAGCTTCCTGCCATCTAGGACCTATATACTAGGCGGTGTCAGTGGATGGCCCAAACATTTTTTGGGAGTCTCATAGCAAAGGCTCTGAATACTTATGTAAATAAGTTATTTCTGTTTTTGATTTGTAATACATTTGCAAAACCTGTTTTCACTTAGTCCTTATGGTGTATTGTGTGTAGATTGATGAGGACAAACATTTATTTAATCCATTTTAGAATAAGCTGTAACATAACAAAATGTGGAAAAAGTCAAGGGGTCTGAATATTTTCTGAATGCACTGTATATATATATATATATATTTTTGTTTTTTGTTTTTACAGCTTTCTCACATGAGACCAAGTCAATAAAAGAACAGAAACATTTCCCCATTACTTCTAGACTTCTAGAACAAGAACTCCCTGCCAACGTAAGAGATCACTGAATCTAAGAGAACACCCATGGTTTCCACATGAACGCCAACATAATACCTGCTACATGCTTTCCATTAAAGCCTTTTAGCAACAACCCAAGATCAGCCACTCAGCCTACAGGGTCTTTGTCAGCCTAAAGTAAAAATAGGACATGAACCATGCCATCATGACACAGCCATCAAATATCAAATTTTTAGACATTATTAAAGACTTATGTAATATGTCAATGATGAGCATACATTTTTTTATGCCAATGTAGGCTACCCTGAGTGTGCGTTCTATTCAGATGAAATTCCCAAGACTTTCAATTGGTAGACAAACTTAGGCAACACTGCCACCTGCAGTAAAAGTTTGGCACAGCACTTACATCAGCTTTGTAATCAAATTAGACTGATTGGCTTGTTTGATGCCTACAATGGATTTAGCAAGCCTTATCAAGCTTACCTGCTGACGCATTAAAAACTACATCTCAAAACACAGACGCAAGCATGCACACACACCCACACACACCCTTATTCTGACAATCTTGGCTCGTTCTGGTGAAGGTCAAGATAAAAAGGCGCTGGTTGTATACAGATATAGGATCTTAATTTGATCACCCTGTTGCAGGATGACTTTTTAAACTTGTAGTGTATTTGAGGTTTAAAAAGGCTTCGGAAGTTTGTAATTTCCACTGTGAAATTTCAGACTTGATTTTCCCTTCCAAATGTTTTTTTATCAACCCCTACAAAATGTCCATTAATTATAATCCACATGACAATTCACATTTCCTATTGCTGCAGATAATTTTCCTGCTGAAGCAAACTGTCTCAAATTAAGATCCTACATCCTATTCCAGCCTCATCTCAAGAGCTGCAGTGAGAAAACTCTTGATCTGACTTAAAATAGATTGTGTGCGACAGTGCGCCTGTGTGTTCCAGCCTCACCTCCACATTCCTGTGAAACTGTGCATAATGCTGACACAGCGCGGTAGCGTCGGGGGGTCCAGCCCATCCATTCCAGCTAGCAGAGACGGAACACCAAACAGAACCAGGTACTTCACGTAGAAGAACTGGACTAACGCCAGGGCCAGCCCACCTGAGGGAGGTAGAGCAAGAGCGAGAGAGATGGGTAAGGAGGAGACGGATGAAGCCTTAGCACAGTGTTTCCCAAACTCGGTCCTCGGGACCTCAAAGCTTGATGATTTGTTGATTATTTGAATCAGCTGTGTAGTGCTAGGGCAAAAACCAAAATGTGCATCCCTTGGGGTCCCCTAGGACCGAGTTTGGGAAACCCTGCCTTAACATATATAGTGTCAGTACTATGTACTTAGTATATACAGTACATAGAACTGGATTAATGCCAGGGACAGCCTGCCAGAGGGAGGTAGAGACAGAGATATAGATAAGGAGAGGGAGAGATATAGCCTTGTTTATAGTATCTATGTTTACACAACTACTGCCCCAAGGTGGTATTCTGACTACTTGCAATCTGCGCCCTTACCTTACCAATCTCCCACTCTGAATTGTGCACGTCTTATACTGCGTTTTTTCCTAGTCCACTGGAAGAAAGGTAATGTTTATATTCTACTGTGTAAAAACTGCAATGGAGGTTTGATTTAAGTAAACGAAAATACACATTAACTGCCAGGATCAGCTTATGATATGACATCTTATACTGTACATTAAGTTAACATCTCAAGTATCATAAATCAAGTCAATTCCACTCATGATTAATTGGTATTCAATAAGGGCGATATTCGGTCTTCAGATCTGCACGCTCAAGTCGAATTTCCATGCAAGTCTCCTATTGACATCAATTAATGATTTATGCATAAGTCAGAGTTGTACCCTGAATAAATAAGACATTCATAAATTGAAATACATTCAACTTTTAATTGAAATGGAATAAACCGAAACCCTGTGAAATAAGACTATTGGAAAGCAGCCAAAGAGATATGGGTGGAATGTTATTGTTACAGTGCATATCTACTTATGATGGCAAGATGAGTTACAGTTTCAGTACAGAGACCCTACAACTGATGATGGTGACGAGAAAGAGATCTGTGCATATTAATATTTGATAAGGCTCTCTAAAGATGGTTGAATTGGTGCCTCTGGGGCAGTGGTTCCCAAACCGTGGGGTGGTCGGCAATATATACAGTGCCTTCAGAAAGTATTCACACTTGGCTTTTTCAACTTTTTGTTTTACAAAGTGGGATTCAAATGGATTTAAATTATCATATTTTGTCAACGATCTACACAAAATACTATAATGTCAAAGTGGAAGTAAAATTCTAACATTTGTAAAACATTAACGAAAAATAAAACACTAATATATATTATATTGATATGATAAGTCTTCAACCCCCTGTGTCAATACATGTTAGAATCACCTTTGGCAGCGATTACAGCTTTGTCTTTCTGGGTATGTCTCTAAGAGCTTTCCACACCTGAATTGTGCAACATTTGCCCATTATTCCTTTCAAAATTCTTCAAGCTCTGTCAAATCGGCTAGACAACAATTTTCAGGTCTTTCCATAGATTTTCTAGCAGATTTAAGTGAAAACTATAACTCGGCTACTCAGGAACCGTCTTCTTGGTAAGAAACTCCAATGTAGATTTGGACTTGTGTTTTAGGTTATTGTCCTACTGAAATGGTGAAATCATCTCCCAGTGCCTGGTGGAAAGCAGACTGAATCAGGCTTTCCTCTAGGATTTTGCCTGTGCTTAGCTCCATTCAGTTTCTTTTTTATCCTGAAAAACTCCCAGTCCTTAACGATTACAAGCATACCCATAATATGATGCAGCCACAACTATGCGTGAAAATATGGATTGGTACTCAGTAATGTGTTGTTTTGGTTTTGCCCCAAACATAACACCTTGATTCAGGACAAAAAGTGAATTTCTTTGCCACCTTATTTGCAGTTTTACTTTAGTGCCTTATTGCAAACAGGATGCATGTTTTGGAATATTTTTATTATGTACAAGCTTCCTTCTTTTCACTCTGTCATTTATGTTTGTGTTGTGGAGTAACTACAATGTTGTTGATCCATCCTCAGTTTTATCCTATCACAGCCATTACACTGTTTTGAAGTCACCATTGGCTTCATGGTGAAATCCCTGAGCGTTTGACTTTCTCTCCGGCAACTGAGTTAGGAAGGATGCCTGTATCTTTGTAGTTACTGGGTGTATTGAGACACAATCCAAAGTGTAATTAATAACTTCACCATGCTCAAAGGGATATGCAATGTCTGTTGTTTTTTTACCCATCTACCAATACGTGCCCTTCTTTGCGAGACATTGGAAAACCTCCCTGGTATTTGTGGTTGAATCTGTGTTTGAAATTCACTGCTCGACTGAGGGACCTTACAGATAATTATATGTGTGGGGTACAGAGATGAGGTAGTCATTCAAAAATCATGTTAAACACTATTATTACACACAGAGTGAGTCCATGCACCTTATTGTGTGACTTGTTAAGCACATTTTTACTCTAACTTATTTAGGCTTGCCATAACATAGGGGTTGAATGCTTATTGACTCAAGACATTTCAGCTTTTAATTTATTTGTAAAAAAAAAAAAAAAAAAACTGAAAACATTCCACTTTGACATTATGGGGTATTGTGTGTAGGCCAGTGACAAGAAACATCTAAATTTCATCCATTTTAAATTCAGGCTGTAGTACAACAAATGCAGAAAAGTCAAGGGGTGTGAATACTTTCTGAAGGCACTGTATGTGTGTGGAAAACATTTCACCACAGGTAAGACATTTAACTTGTTTAGTATAGTTTGTTTTAACTCCACTTACTACTTCTAGCTGTATAGTCCGTTTGTTTGTGTGGTTGGCTAGCTTAATGTTCCGGTCAGTAGCTAGCTTGCACTCACTCACGTGGCTGCTAGCACCATCATGAAAAGCGCTACAATATTACGTTTTTCTAAGTAGTGAGAATGCCCAGGAGCAGGCAATTTTGAAAAGTAATCTTCAGCCAAGTTGTAGTTTTTTTAAATGTAGTTTGTAATTGACTAAAACAAGCAGACAAGAAAATTACTTTTGAAAAAGGTGAAGTTTTTGCTGTGAGACAATGGGGTAACCTAGGTAACCACAGGTTGTTTTCCCCACAGGCAGGCAGGGCATTGGGGTCAACATGTCAGGAACATGTCAGGAAAAATAACATTTTGCCCTATTTGAAACACACAGTATTGCTGACTGTTTCCATTGGTTATTTCAACTGAACATGGAGCATGTATAATTTATTTATATCGGACAGTTTTTAGACTTGAGAACCACCTGTGAATTCAATTTCCAGCAAATGTCCCACTGACATCAATGTATAATTTACAAGGAAGTCCAAGTTGGGCGCTCTTATCTCAACCCTGAATCTGCTTGAAAATGCCTTCACAAAGGTTTTCTAAACAGTATGGAAATAATAAATAGCCTCACCGTGAGAACATAAATTGGGTATGAAAATAAAAGTATGCACTCACTAACTGTATGTCACTCTGGATAACAGCGTCTGCTAAATGACTAGAATGTAAAATGTAAATGTACTTAAACGTTTTGTAGTGTGCGGTTTCCATGACTGAACGAAAAATGGTCGCTCATGGGAGCGACAGGAGAAAGAACAGTGAAAATAGAGGAACAGAATGAGCATACACAAAAGAGAAGGGAATGTAAACTACATTTGTACTTTTTTAAATTTTGTTCAAATCAAAAATAGCCTGTGGTGGCAATACATATACTGTACATACAACACACACACCACTCATAATAATAACAACTATGGGACAACCATGCCCTTTTCCTACCCAGGCATGTGCATCTGGATTACTGCTATTACATTGTCTAATGAAGTTATTACAACCATAGCACATCTAAAAATAACCACAGGGTAGCATTACTAAGCAAAAGATGAGATTGCTAAACTTGTATTGCCTGATTATGTGCTGCACTATAGATAAGGAGTGGTATGGGGGTGTAATTCCCCTCCATGGTCTGCACTTAGTGCAGCATCAGCAGTAAATTACTGTACCGTCCAACCTACCACTGCTGTTTTGCCATGCTACACTAGCTACATCTGTGTAGCTTATCAATGCTTTATGCTGATAGGCTGAGAGAGGAAAAAATACTATTGGGGACCTCCATGTTAACAGCGGACATTCTCACATTAGCTATTTCTAAAAATCAGACATACAGTACAACTTCTAAAATGAATGTTCTATACCAGGATTCTCTCCAACTCCAGTCCTCAAGATAATCTTCCTTACATCTACTAAGTCCACTCAGATCGGTGAGAACAGGGGCGTTGGGAAGGACATGGAACCAGGGAGTATGGGGTATGGAAAAAAAAAAATATTATTCCATAATTATATTTCTATGGAGAACATGCGGGATTCTAGACTGGAATCCAAAGCCCAAGACTCACATCCAGGAGTTTATCATTTACCCACACATTCACACATACTTACACTGACACCCCAACACACACACACACATTACAAAGTCCCACACACACACATAGCATGTGCACACATGCATACTGACGCCACACACACACTTTCACACTCGCCAGACATGCCGCTGCTACAGCTCAGTCTATTATCTATTCTGTTGTCTAGTCACTTTACCCCTACCTACACAGTGCATTCAGAAAGTATTCAGACCCCTTCCCTTTTTCCATAAAATGGATTAAGTAAAACATGTTCCTCATCAATCTACACACAATACCCCATAATGACAAAGTGAAAACAGGCGTACAAATGTTTGCCAATTTATTAAATATAAAATACAGAAATACCTTATTTACTTACATAAGTATTCAGACCCTGATCAATGGAAACAGGTGCATCCTGTGTCCATTTATCATACTTGAGATGTTTTTACAACTTGGAGTCCACCTGTGGTAAATTCAATTGATTGGACATGATTTGGAAAGGCACACACCTGTCTATTTAAGGTCCCAGAGTTGACAGTGCATGTCAGAGCAAAAACCAATCCATGAGGTCGAAGGAATTGTCCATAGAGCTCCGAGACAGGATTGTGTCGAGGCACAGATCTGGGGAAGGGTACCAAAAAATGTCTGCAGCATTGAAGGTCCCCAAGAACACAGTGGCCTCCATCATTCTTAAATGGAAGTTTAGAACCACCAAAGACTCTCCCTAGAGCTGGCCGCCCGGCCAAACTGAGCAATCGGGGGGAAAAGGGCCTTGGTCAGGGAGGTGTCCAAGAACCCATTGGTCACTCTGACAGAGCTCCACTGTGGAGATGGGAGAACCTTCCAGAAGGACAACCATCTCTGCAGCACTCCACCAATCTGGCCTATATGGTACAGTGGCCAAGGCGAAAGCCATTCTGCACTAAAAGGCACATGACAGCCCGCTTGGAGTTTGCCTAGATTCTCTGGTCTGATGAAACCAAGATTGAACTCTTTGGTCTGAATGCCAAGCGTCACGTCTGGAGGAAATATGGCACCATCCCTACGGTGAAGCACGCTGGTGGCAGCATCATGTTGTGGGGATGTTTTTCAGCGGCAGGGACTGGGAGACTAGTCAGGATCGAGGGAAAGATGAACGGAGCAAAGTACAGAGAGATCCTTGATGAAAACTTGCTCCAGAGCGCTCATGACCTTAGTCTGGGGCAAAGGTTCACCTTCCAACAGGACAACGACCCTAAACACATAGCCAAGACAATGCAGAAGTGGCTTCGGGACAAGTCTCTGAATGTCCTTGAGTGGCCCAGCCAGAGCCCGGACTTGAACCCGATCGAACGTCTCTGGAGAGACCTGAAAATAGCTGTGCAGCTGGCAGCCATCCAACCTGACAGAGCTTGAGAGGATCTGCAGAGAAGAATGGGAGATACTCCCCAAATACAGGTGTACCAAGCTTGTAGCGTCATACCCAAGAAGACTCGACGCTGTAATCGCTGCCAAAGGTGCTTCAATATTGGTATTGAGTAAAGGGTCTGAATACTTATGTAAATGTGAGTTATTTTTATTTTTAATACATTTGCAAAACTTTCTAAAAACATGTTTTCGCTTTGTCATTGTGGGGTATTGTGTGTTGATTGATGAGGGAAAACATTATTTTAAAATTCATTTTAGAACAAGGCTGTAACATAAAGATGTGGAAAAAGTCAAGGGGCCTGAATACTTTCCGAATGCACTGTATGTACATAGCTACCTCAATTCCATCATACCCCTACACATCGACTCGGTACTGGTGCTCCCTGTATATAGCCATGTTTTTTTTACTCATTATTTACTGTGAATTTATTCCTTGTGTCACTATTTTTATTTTATCTTTAACTCTGCATTGTTGGAAAAGTAAGTAAGGATTTCACTGCTAGTCTATACCAATTTGATTTGGATCATAAATGCATAGAGCTCTTTCTCAGAATATACAGTGCATTCGGAATGTATTCAGATCCCTTGACTTTTTCCACATTTTGTTACGTTACAGCCGATTGCTCAGTTTTTCCGGGCAGCCAGCTCTAGGAAGAGTCTTGGTGGTTCCAAACCTCTTCCATTTAAGAATTATGGAGGCCACTGTGTTCTTGGGGACCTTCAATGCTGCAGAAATGTTTGGGTATCCTTCCCCAGATCTGTTCTTCGACACAATCCTGTCTCAGAGCTCTACGGACAATTCCTTTTTTTCAGCTTTGTCATTATGGGGTGTTGTGTGTAGATTGATGAGGAAAAATTATAATTTTATCAATTTAAGAATAAGGCTGTAACGTAACAAAATGTGGAAAAAGTCAAGCGGTCTGAATACTTTCCGAATGCACTGTACAGTACAATAGGCTACATACACACTGACTGACACACTAAAGGCATAGAGCCCTATCTCTCTACGAACATACAGTACAGTACTGACTGACAGGATGTCCATTTAAATGATCTATGGCCAACATGGGGATGCAGATGAGTGGCAGGAATTGCTTTGTGATATTACATGTTAGAATTGTGTATTGTGCTCCTACTACCCAATCTATCTTTAAATCCCTTTCCACAAATAGAAAAACATTCAACTTGCTTCACAAGAGGGCAGCAGTCACTGGCTAAGTCCCAAATGACACAACTTTGGGCCCAGGTCAAAATTAGTTTACTACATAGGAAATAGGGTGCCATTTGGAACGCACCAAACTCCCTCATAACAACTGCCATGTGAATTGACCTTCTAAGATTCAAATACGGTTATTTTCCTTCAAGTGCGCCAAAATAATTAACCTTCACTTACGCAATCTTAGTGTTCAATAGTGGACTAGCAGATAGACTGCATGGAAAGAAACCCTGAATCAAAACAATAAACCCATAGCCTCTACCCCTAGGTACTTGTGTATATCTGAGAGGATTGGATCCGTGTTAGCAATATGGTGGTAGCTCCATCTTGCCCTCTGATAGGCCAGGTGGAGAATGGCTGCCATATTGCTTACTGCAGACGGTATAGTGCAGACTGTTCGGTGACAAACCAACCTATTTCATTACCTCCAAGATGAAGAATTCAGATCATTTAAAAGCAGCTGTCAATTTGTGTCCTGCTTCATAACTAACTACTACTACACTAAGTAGCTTTCCATCTCAAAAACCATTAGGCTGCCTGAAAACTTGTATTGGGTCGATTCCACGGCAGCATGGCCCGAAAATATTTTTGGTATCTCCGATTGTTCTGGTAATACTCACGTAGAAACTTTATTGGGAGGAATGATGTTTATCATGGTTTTTACATTTGTATCACAAATCATGATGGTGGCGGCCATTTTAGGCCCTTTTTAGACCTATACATGCCTCCTGTGAACTGTACATGGTTACAAAAATTACTATGAATATCTCAAAAGTACCCCTTTTGACATAGCTTATTTTTTGACATATTGTTTTAAACAATATACTCTTCAAACATTACATTTACATTACATTTACATTTTAGTCATTTAGCAGACGCTCTTATCCAGAGCGACTTACAGTTAGTTAGTGCATACATTATATTTTTTTTTTCATACTGGCCCCCCGTGGGAAACGAACCCACAACCCTGGCGTTGCAAACGCCATGCTCTACCAAATGAGCTACATCCCTGCCGGCCATTCCCTCCCCTACCCTGGACGACGCTTGGCCAATTGTGCGCCGCCCCATGGGTCTCCAGAGTGGGCTCTCTGCTACTTTTGAAGAAATTATCAATTTTATACATTTACATTATAGGTCATTAACCAATCACAGGCCTTAACCAATCACATGCCACATTGCACATACAGCAAGATTTTCACTGTACCCTGCAATCACAACTGCAAACCTGTACATGTGACTATTAAACAATCTGAATCTGAAAAATCACCAGCAAAGCGAGTTCCTTTGAATCCATTTTGCCATTCACTGTGTTGGTGGTGCTTATAAAATGGATCATCTTTAAAAGTAGCAGAAAGACCACTCTGGAAATGTGATGTACTTGTAGAGTATGTTATTTAAAACAATGTCTAAAAATGAACAAAATCAAAAAGGGTACTTTTGAGATATTAATATTGATAGTATTAATGTGTAAAATTGTATTTCAGAATACACTATTAGGAGTATAACTGAACAGATGGCTTTATCATCGAACTCAAGAATCAAGTTTGAGGCGGTTTCCTTAGCTCAATAGAGTACGGCGGTTTTGAACATTACAAACACACATGCATGTACATACTTCACGCACACATGTATGCATAAACACATGCCCACATGTACGCACACACACACACACACACACACACACACACACAGAAACACTTACCCAAGGCCCAAGGCGGCAGGATCTCCAGATATGTTTCGTTGGCCTGTATAGTGTGCATGTACATCAGGTGGATCAAGTACTCTGCTATAAGCCACCACACACAGATCCTCCCAGCGTTGGCCAGCAGTGAGAGGAACGTCATCCTACCACCACGATCCTTCACAGATATCTGCATCTGCAACAATCACACAAAGGTAACACATTAAGGTACACTTAAAAAATGATTTATAAAGGGGTTTATAAACGTAATCATCTATATATTTTTTATAAAAAAGCTATAACACATTGGTTAACATTATATGACTTTGGGGTGCTCAGAGTGTTGTGAGGAGCATTCATACAGGCTCCTCAGAGGAGGAAGGGGAGGACCATACTACTCAGTGAATAAAAATAAAATGTAAATAAAAAAAATAAAAAGTTATACTTATGTTATATATTTACGTTACCAAATACCTGATTAAAACAAACTATTTTGCAATAAAGGTCTACAATAGTCTCAACAGCACCCTCTGGGGTAGCATCATGGTGTAGCCGGAGGACAGCTATTTTCCGTCCTCCTCTGGTTACATTGACTTCAATACAAAACCTAGGAGGCTCGTGGCTCCTCACCCTCTTCCTGGCGCATTGAATGTTTCCCCTCCAAGCCCTGTCAATTTTCTCTCATTACTGCATGTAGTCAATCACATATAAACCCAATCACATTATTACACAATGTGATTTTAATCCTTGCTTGGACTAACTCATTCTTAGCTCTTTTGTCTAACGGTGTTGTGTTATTGTTTTTCGTCTACCCAGTCAAATCCTGTCCTACCCTCAGTGGAATAGTTGAGCTATTCAACACCATCCATCCATGATGAGCCTGTCCTGCACTGAAGCCTCTGAACACCACAATCCCTGTCCTGCACTGAAGTCAAGCCTCTGAACATCTCAACGTATGCCTCATACCCTCATTCAATCACTGCTGTGATCCCTTCCTAACACTGTAAGTAGCCTTCTCAATCCCATTCCCCATAATATTTTAATATAAATGTCTTCATTAAATGTAAGGTTAAAAGAATGTCGTTGACGATTTTTGAAACATGCTTTGTCGTCTCCGTGCGGTCCACGCCTATACCGTGGGTTTACCATCCTCCTCAATTTTTCAAGTTACCAGCCTACACTGCTCCTCTGATAGTCCGTATGGTGATGGGACTGGTGAGGACATGATAAATAATGGAAGGGATTCTTTCCATACAAGCACTACCCACATACCCCAATAACCTTACCCCAGTTAGCTTCCCCTGTTTTTGGCCTTTACCTATTCAATATGACATTCTCTCACTCAGACCTAGATTCAAATACCATTTGAATTCTTTCAAATACTTTGTGTGGTTGCTTTAGCCTCCCTGAAGAAGCTTAGCTGTGCTTTGCAGACCTGGGTTCAAATAGTATTTCAAATGTTTCCTAGTACTTTAGCTGTGCTTGATTGAGCTTGCCTGTTGCGATGGAACCAATAGATAAGTCCCAAAAGTGCAAACCTCCTCCAACCTGCCCTCCAGGCAGGCTAAAGCAAATGCTCAAAGAGTGGCGTATAAAGTATGCCGACTGCTGACTCACTAAAGCTACAGCAACGGATCATTGCAGCACTTTTATTTGCTCTTATAAAACTCGCTCAGTCAGAACCTCACCCCAAGGTGCTGAGAAATCCCTGAGCCTTCACACTCAGAGTCTAAAACTATACCAGAGAGAGAGGAATCACAGATACATCTTGCAACACTGACTTGTCTTTTTCAATCTGTGATGAGAAATTGGAGAGTGATGTTTCATTTTGGGAAGCAAGAGTTTGGAACCAAGGGGATACCTCTTGGATCTTGCTCCATTACCCATTTGCTAAAAAAATAACTTCTGCATCAATTGCTCTCAAATGAAAATTGAATGGAGTACCCAGCAGGGAAAATTGCTAGAAAATTGGCGCCTTTCCTGTCAGATCACTGGCTGATTTCTCACCTTTCTTTCTCCTTCCCTGACAGCTGATTGGCTGATATCTCACCTGTTGGAGGAAGTCCTTGAAGGTGAAAGCTCATTGGTTGATATCTCACCTGACTTCCTCCTGCGCCGTCAGCTCATTGGCTGACTTCACCTGACTTCCTCCTGCCCTAAAAGATAATTGACTGACTTCGCCTGACTTCCTCTTGCCCTGACATCTCATTGGTTGATATCTAACCTGTCCTAACAGATAATTGGCTGATATCTCACCTGTTGGAGGAAGTCCTTGAAGGTGAAAGCTCATTGGTTGATATCTCACCTGACTTCCTCCTGCGCCGTCAGCTCATTGGCTGACTTCACCTGACTTCCTCCTGCCCTAAAAGATCATTGACTGACTTCGCCTGACTTCCTCTTGCCCTGACATCTAATTGGTTGATATCTAACCTGTCCTAACAGATAATTGGCTGATATCTCACCTGTTGGAGGAAGTCCTTGAAGGTGAGGATGGGTCCGTTGAAGAACAAAGGATGGTAGAAGGAGTAGGCTGTCAGCCAGTAGAGCTGCTGCTGCAGTCCTCCAGCCTCCAGGGGGCACCAGCAGTGCTCCAGGTTGAAGCTGATGAAGCGCAGGCCGCACACAGCCACACTGAAGAGTAAGAGGTAGTACTCCTCTTCTGTCTGGTACCAGCTTCTCTGTGGGAGACAACATACCAGAAACCACAAAAATGGTCGAAAACAGAGAGAAACAAGGTACTATCTGAACTTGTTCAATAAGAAAAACTTATTTTCGTTTTCCGAAGGTGTGGCCTAATGAACATGACCCAAGGCTGTGTTCAGCAAAGCACAACATTGTAAACTGTTCAAATATTGTGTATGACAGACATGCCTCACTGACATGTAGAGTAAGGAATCATGTCAACTCTACTCATGACATTCCATCTGCAATGTTCAGTGCCAGTATGTTGCACCCTGCTGAACGTGACCCAAGTTTTCTAGTGTATTTTGCCTAAGCCTAAGGTATGAGAGTTCACGTTTTGAGCAAGAGAGAGACATAGCAGTAGCTGTTCTTCTAGGAATCCGTGAAAACACTCATCCTCTCTTTGAAGAAGAACACTGCAGGGATTTGGTTGGTTTCCATTTGAAGAGGCAGAAACAACTCAAGTCTCATCACCCTTACTGTACTAACATCTCTACCAGATCTGGTCCTTTGTGTGTGATGAAGGCAGGAGGCTAAATAAATGTGTACTACAAAACAAACAATGAATCAACAATGCCAGTTCAATAATGAAACACATCGTGAGAGAGAACGCTCATACATAGTCATTGATGGTTCCCAATGTTACAATTGTAGATGATGCAATAAACCATGTGCAGGCTGCTTTTCTTTATCTGCAGGGCAAAATATATAGCCATACAGTGCCTTCAGAAAGTATCGATACCCCTGGACTTATTTCACATTTTGTCGTGTTACAGCCTGAATTCAAAATGGATTAAATAGATTTTTCCTCCACCATAAACAAACTATACCCCATAATGACAAAGTGAAAACATGTTTTTAGAAATTTGAAAATGAAAAGACAGAAATATCTCATTAACATAAGTGTTCACACCCCTGAGTCAATACTTTGTAGAAGCACCTTTGGCGGCGATTACAGCTTTGAGTTGTCTTGGGTATGTCTGTATCAGCTTTGCACATCTGGATTGGGGGATTTTCTCCCCTACATATTTTCTCAAGCTCTGTTAAGTTAGATAGGGAGCGGCGGTGAATCTTCAATTCTTTCCACAGATTTTAAATGGGATTCAAGTCTGGGATTTGGCTGGGCCACTCAATGACTTTCAAATTATTGTTCTGAAGTCATTCCAGCGTCGCTTTGGCTGTATGCTTAGGGTCATTGTCCTGTTGGAATGTAAATCTTTGCCCCAGTCTAAGGTCGTTTGCACTCTGAAGCAGGTTCTCATCAAGGATTTGCCTGTATTTGGCTCCATTCATTATTCCCTCAAATCAGAGAGAGAGAGAGAAATAAATAAAGGGAGTGGATGGTGATCATCAGGATGCTATAATTGCAGTGAGAGCCGTTGTTGATATCTACTGCACGTTAAGGTAATTAAGGGGGAGGGAGAGTGATAGTGCAATCACTGTGTAACATGGTTAACTGCGTTAGGAGAAAGGAGAGCAAGTTTCCTTCTCTCCAAGTGGAGAAACGACAGATGAATCAACACATACTCTAAAGAAACAAAGAGAAACAAAGAGAATAAAAAAAAAAAAGAAACATAGTAGTCATCTAACTAAGTCGCTCTGGATAAGAGCATCTGCTAAATGACAAATGTATCTAACCATCCACTGTAATGTGGTGTCTTTCTTAAGACCAGGCACCACAGGCTGAAATGACAATTTTGCATCTACTTATCAATTTTGAGATTTTATTGCATTTTGGTCCTTCAATGAGTACTTTCAAAAAGTAAACATAAAAATGTCAAAAACGTAATGTAAATGTATATTTTCTTTAGTTTATCAATTTACCGTCATCAACATTTCATGAATTTTAACCACTTTTAAATGGACATACACTGAGTATACCAAACATTAGAAACACCGGTCTGAGTAAGTCCGGTCGTGGCTGTCTTAAAAAAAATTAAACCAAAATATTTGGCTGACTTGTCCAAATATGGTATTTTAGATATTTTATTAGGATCCCCATTAGCTGTTGTGAAAGCCGCAGCTACTCTTCCTGGGGTCCACACAAAACATGAAACATGACACAATACAGAACATTAATAGACAAGAACAGCTCAAGGACAGAACTACATACATTTAAATGGCACACATAGCCAACATATCAATACATACACAAAAAATATCTAGGTCAAATAGATTGATCTGTTTTTTGAAACCAGGTTTGCTGTTCATTTGAGCAATATGAGATGGGAGTTCCATGCAATAATGGCTCTATATAATACTGTATGCTCTCTTGAATTTGTTCTGGATTTGAGGACTGAAAAGACCCCTGTTGGCATGTCTGGTGGGGTAAATGTGTGTGTCAGAGCTGTGCGTAAGTTGACTACGCAAACTATTTGGAATTTTACACACATTAATGTTTCTTATAAAAAAGAAGAAGTAATGCAGTCAGTCTCTCCTCAACTCTTAGCCCAGAGAGACTGGAATGCATAGTATTTATATTAGCCCTCCTGTAGCTCAGTTGGTAGAGCATGGTGCTTGCAACGCCAGGGTTGTGGGTTCGATTCCCACGGGGGGCCAGTATGAAAAATGTATGCACTCACTAACTGTAAGTCGCTCTGGATAAGAGTGTCTGCTAAATGACTAAAATGTAAAATGTAAATTACAATAAAGAGCAAGACGTGCCGTTCTGTTCTGGGCCAGCTGCAGCTTAACTAGGTTTTCGTAGCAGCACTTGACCACATGGCTGGACAATAATCAAGTTAGCCCAAACTAGGGCCTGCAGGACTTGCTTTGTGGAATGTGGTGTCAAAAAAGCAGAACATCTCTTTATTACGGACAGACCTCTCCCCATCTTTACAACCATTGAATATATATGTTTTGACAATAACAGTTTACAATCTAAGGTAACAAAGTAATTTAGTCTCCTTAACTTGTTCAGCCACATCTGTAGCTCAGCTGGTAGAGCACGGCGCTTGTAACGCCAAGGTAGTGGGTTCGATCCCCGGGACCACCCATACACAAAAATGTATGCACGCATGACTGTAAGTCGCTTTGGATAAAAGCGTCTGCTAAATGGCATATTATATTATTATTATATTATATTATTATATTATATTATATTATTATTATATTATATTATTATATTATATTATATTCATTACCAGATTCAGCGGAGGTCTAGAGCTTAGGGAATGATTTGTACCAAATACAATGATCTTAGTATTAGAGATGTTCAGGACCAGTTTATTACTGGCCACCCATTCAAAAACTGACTGCAACTCCATGTTAAGGGTTTCAGTGACTTCATTAGCTGTGGTTGCTGACATGTATATGGTTGAATCATCAGCATAAAGCTTTGTTTAATGCCAGTGGCATGTCATTGGTAAAAATAGAAAAAAGTAGAGGAACTGCCCTGCAGTACACTACACTCTACATTTGACATTAGAGAAGCTTTCATTCAAGAAAACCCTCTGAGTTATATTAGATAGATAGCTCTGAATCCACAATATGGCAGAGGTTGAAAAGCCATAAAACATAAGTTCTCAACAACAGGTTATGGTCAATAATAGCAACGGCTGCACTGAAATCTAACAGTACAGCTCCCACAACCTTCTGATTATCACTTTCTTTCAACCAATCATCAGTCATTTGTGTCAGTGCAGTACATGTTGAGTGCCCTTCTCTATAAGCATGCTGAACGCATGTTATTAATTTGTTTACAGAGAAGTAGCATTGTATTTGGTCAAATACAATTTCTTCCAACAGTTTGCTAAGAGCTGGCAGTAAGCTGATTGGTCTGCTGTTAGAACCAGTAAAGGCCGTTTTACCACTCTTAGGTGGCGGAATGACTTCGGCTTCCCATCATGCCTGAGGACACACACCTTCCTCTAGACAGATTAAAGATATGACAGATAGGAGTGGTCATAGAGTCATCTACCATCATCAGTAGCCTTCCATTTAAGTTGTCAATGCCAGGAGGTTTGTCATTATTGATCGATAACTATTTTTCCACCTGTCCCCACGCTAACTTTACAAAATTCTAAATGATTTTTGTTAAGTTTAGTCACATAATTTCTCAATTTGCAGTTAGTCAACCAGTCAGACGTGGAGACAGACTTACTAGCAACTCCTTTTGCCCCATCTCTTTCAACCATACAGTTTTTCAATTCCTCAATCAATCAAGACATGCCACCAGAGGTCTCTTCACAGTCCCCAAGTCCAGAACAGACTATGTGAGGTGCACAGTACTACATACAGTTGTGGTCAAAAGTTGAGAATGACACAAATACTAATTTTCACAAAGTCTGCTGCCTCAGTTTTGATGATGGCAATTTGCATATACTCCAGAATGTCATGAAGAGTGATCAGATGAATTGCAATTAATTGCAAAGTCCCTCTTTGCCATTAAAATATACTTAATCCCCAAAAAACATTTCCACTGCATTTCAGCCCTGCCAGTAATTCTCTCGTTAACACCCGGTTGAGAGTGTTGACAAGGCCAAGGCTGGAGATCCCTCTGTCATGCTGATTGAGTTAGAATAACAGACTGGAAGCTTTAAAAGGAGGGTGGTGCTTGAAATCATTGTTCTTCCTCTGTTAACCATGGTTACCTGCAAGGAAACATGTGCCGTCATCATTGCTTTGCACAAAAAGGGCTTCACAGGCAAGGATATTGCTGCTAGTAAGAATGCACCTAAATCAACCATTTATCGGATCATCAAGAACTTCAAGGAGAGAGGTTCAATTGTTGTGAAGAAGGCTTCAGGGCGCCCAAGAAAGTCCAGCAAGCACCAGGACCGTCTCCTAAAGTTGATTCAGCTGCGGGACCGGGGCACCACCAGTGCAGAGTTTGCTCAGGAATGGCAGCAGGCAGGTGTGAGTGCATCTGCACGCACAGTGAGGCGAAGACTTTTGGAGGATGGCCTGGTGTCAAGAAGGGCAGCAAAGAAGCCACTTCTCTCCAGGA